AATAAATTCAGACTCAGTATTATAAAGTTTAGTATAAAACATGCTGATGTATTAGATTAGAGTTATTTCATATGTTGCCTTGAGCATCCTAAATATTAAAACTGGTTTTACTTTATTGTTACTATTGCAGCTGAGAGAACAATAATTTACCAAATATGTTCCTAATACCTTTACTTTATGTGATTCAGTGAATATTGGGTGCATAAAGGGAACTAAGGTCCAATTTAGCAAACATAAAAGCTTTATATAGTTCTGATGTAGGGTGCCTTGCATATGTAGTAAAAAATATTTAATTTTATTTTCCAAATGTTCTTGTTTTGATTATTCTTTTTCCATGAAGCATAAACAGTAATAAGATAAGGAATATATGCTTTGTTTTTAAGGCATATATTAAATTTGTGAAGTGTCCATTTATACAAAAAAAGTTAAATCTTATTTCATCTGTTTTGTAAAATGTAATTTTTTTAGTAGTGATGTTCTTAAGTATCATCTTGAAAAAATAGGATGACCTTTTCTTATAGCAGTTATAATATGGGTCCTATTGCAATAACTGATCATGCTCTAGTAATACTACCCTGATTAAATACTGCAATAGGACTTATATTACAGTTACCTGTCTGCTCAGCTAAAGATTGATATACTAAGAAATAAAGAAGCTAGGAACAGGTCTAATATTGAAACAAATAGTATGTTGTTGCTGATTTAATTTAAAATTTAAATTTAAGATTTAAAAGTCACCATACATTGGCCAAATTAAATTCCAACATTTAACTATTTAGCACTTTCCACATATGAGAATTAAATTTAGCTGAAACAATATAGTATTAAGTCTAACAAAGAACTTATGCTTGATTAAAATCTCCAGCCATAATAATCTGACTCAGAACTAAATAAAGAAAAAAATACCTGTGTAAAACATCTAGAAGTTCCTTAGCAGGGTCATAATAATTAATAAATGCAATACCATTATTAAAACATTTGTTTACTAATATTAACAAAAAAATCCTTCTGGATAACTTTTTGTCTTGTTCCACTACAATATTAAAGACATGTTCATCAACGCAACTATACCCATAGCCAGTTC